ACCCATGCTGGGAGTGGGTCTCGCTGTCAGGACAGATGCCCTAGCAAGGAGATATGAGGCTGTAGGTGAAAACACTCCTATCCCCACCAAAGGTCCTGGTCTGTCATTTCAGAGGTAGTTTGGGTGCCTAAACAAGTGCTGGGCACCTCTAAGCTGCTGAATTGATTGTGAAGCTACAACCCAGGATCCCAAGCCACTCACGTTACACAGGCTGTGGGTTGCCCAGGCTCTGTTGCCCTTTCTCATTCCTACCAGCACTCACCAGCAGCCCGTGACCACAGCCTGCAATAAAGGCTGATCCCATACACTGAGATACAGTCGGATCTCACTAAACCACACACGAACCCCGGGCAGACTCCACAGGCATCTGCAGAGATGCAGCAGCAGAGGTGTGTGGTGAGGTCTCCAATGACTAAGACTTCATTATTTTTTACAAAGTATACTGCAGAATATTTACCCCTGCATTACGATGAATTAGCATAAATAATTAAAACAGAGCTCGCATCGGTGAACACATAAGCAAAGGGCACTTGCTAATGGACCAGGCTTGCTCTGCTGCTCCTGGGACTTACTTAGAGACAAGGCCATGCCAAAAAGGCCAAGGAAGGATTTGTCTTTATCCTTTCTACCCCAAACCTGTTCCTATCTCACCCCAGATGGCTGACACAGGCTGGTGGATCAGCACACCTTATGGAGCATCTCCCAAAGGGCAAAGAGGAAAACAACAGTAAGTCCCGAGACGTTCAACCTGCTCCCAAGTCCCACTGCAAACTCTTCTTCAAACAACACACCTACGATCAGTCATGCAAGAGGTGCTTCCCAGAAATGCTCACAATCTGATGGATCGCATGACTCTGCCTTCTCTTTTTATTCCAGGTATTAAGCAGTATAGAAAGAAGATTGCACAGCAAATAGGGAAGGGTTTTCAAGCGCTCCCCGTGGTTTTCCTCCCTCAGGAGCATGTATGCTCTGGTGATCTACACCAGCAGAGTGCAGCCAGTATTGCAGACTTTCCCAAAAAAAGGACAATTTAATCCCAAGTCTTTTCCTAGCCTTATTTTTCCCTGAAAGTAAAGACTGCAGTTGTCTCAGAGGATGGTATGAAAATAAGAATATCTCCTAGCTACGTCTCTTTCAGCATCTCTCTTCTCTGAGACTGAAAATTTTCCACAAATTGATGTTCTGTATTTTATTCTCTTTCTGGACTCTCTCCACTATCCACCAAATATTTTGTGCTTACAATTAAAAATAAAATGGAAAAACAAAATCGTGCTTGTTTGCAATTCTTCATTCGATTCACTTCTGCGTCTGTGCATAAATAAAGCATTTGGATGGCTGGTGGAGGTGAACAGAGCTCGAATCAGTCTCCCTGGCCAAAGTACACATCCCACGAGGCACAGCTGCAGGGGTTTCCTGCAGTATATTGTACAGCTCAACATGAAGGAAAATACAGTACAGCATGGGAACAGCAGTTGTACCTGCAGAGAGACGACCTATGGAAAGAGCAGGGTTAGACTGTAGCCTGACCTGCAACCCCCAGGAGTCATTTCCAAGCCAAATACCACAAGGCTTAAACCATACATTTTTAATTATTTTTAATATTTTTTACTGAAAATGTTGTTTGCCTTTACAGAGGTGAGATTTCTTCATGGGAAAATCAATTTTCTCTTACCAACTACACCACTAAGATATTGCTATATTGCCAAGAGTGAACTCTGGTGTTCTAGCAAAAGAGAGATGCATGGGTGTTATGTAGATCCCCTGTCTAGCAGAGCTGACAGAGAATATGTGTTTTCAGATGGTGAAGAAAACAAAGTCAGCTTCTTTAGCACCAAATTGCCTTCCTCTTTGCTATAAGGATAGGCTTGGACATGCTCACTTGTGTAGAACAGGGAAGAACTGCAAGGAAAATATCTGGTGCTGCTTTCCATAAATCACTGCCAGTGAGAGCCAAACACTGAAATTCGCATCAGGAATTTGCCCCTTTCTCCCCTGCACCTTTGTCCCTAGGGCTAGGTAGGGCCTGATCATGTTTATGCATCATCATTCAATTATTTCAATAGACTAAATCATTTCAGTAGATCTAACCCCAACTAACCTAAAAAGAGTGTTTACACAGGCACTGCATCAAACCTTATTTATGTGCACATTGTAACCATGAGATACACAAAGGATCATGACCCCTTTGCAGCCATATGGGCATTGCTGTACGATTTAACACGATCCCATCTGCACCACCCTATTCAAAGTTCTGGCAGGCAAAGCTTCTGCAAAGACCTTTGCAAAGCCCTTTCCTGCCCGAAAACAACACCCTCGGTGCATCCTGAAAGTCATAATTCTCTTTCATCAGCAGCTTCCCACCTCCTGTATCCTGGGATATACACAGCACTGGAGTCTTTTGCATCATCTCTTCATTAAATACCCCTAAATGCTTGGATCTGTAAGGAATTCACCACATTCATCCGTGATCCATCCATCAGCTGTCTATTCTCTGTGGCTGCTTGCGTGAGAACATCCTTCTTACTCTTAATTTTGGTTGCATGGTATTTATTGCAAAGTTACTCAGAAGACAAAGTGTAACACGTCATTAAGATAATGACATCAAGATAAATGGGACTTCTCTTCAAAATTAAACCAGCATCAAATCTGTAGATTATACGGAAAGGCTGGCAAGCTCTCACCTACCCAAGGGAAACTGTAAACTGTTCTAGTGTGAAAAGAGGCACTTGGGGACTGCTGGGATGGCACTACACGGTGCCACGCAGCACCTCCAACACGAGAGAGAATCCTTTTCAGAAGGAATAAAGCTAAAAGGCAATTCATTTGAAAGCAAGAACAAAGACTCTGGGTATCAGCTTAGGTGCTGCATCCCCACAGCACTGCTCCCGCTCCCAAGCAGGTCATCATTCTCCAGTCGCAGGAACAAGCTCTGGAGCCTGTCAGCAAGATCTCAGCACACTCTTCCATCATCTTCAGCAGAATTCTTTAGTAGGGTTTGATCCTAGAGCGAGGTGAGAGCCCTCAGCTTCGCCTGAGTTCACCAGAAGCTGAGAATGAACAGAGACACAGAGCAGCCAACAGCAGACTTGGACTACAAAGCCCCCCTGAACATCCTGTGAAGATATGGGCTATCATTTGTGGGCTGATACACCAGGACATGTGTATTTTACTGCTTTCAAGGATAAGGACTCCTAAAGGTGTCTTTTTTCATTAATGTTGAATTTGGCACTGATTCTCTTAACAAGACTGTTATTAACTTCTGTGAAAGCAGGTCAGACTCACACCCCGGTTTTGCAGGACTGAGTAGTCACCAAACAGAAGTTGGCCACACAGAGCATCGCATCCTCTCCTAAGAAGGATGAAACCTTACAAACACATGGAATTTTTTCCCTATTCTATGATCCATGTTGCACAAGGATCTCCAGGCTAACCACACACCTAGAGAGCTACCTAAAATGAATGTTGTAACTTGGAAATTCTTAGACCATTGCAAATAAATGTGAGTCTCTTTGCTTGTCTGATCTTCTCTATACTCACCCTCTGTTCTATTGCTTATACCCCATGAGCCTGGGCATGGATTTGACCCAGCTGCTATGGCGAGATGCCAACTGCTCAAGGTGCTAAACCCTCACTTGTACAGCATGTGGGGAGGCTGACCAAGGCAAGAAGGAGGTGCTCCTCTACCCAGACATGGATCTCCCCAATAAGAGGCAGCATTATGCAATACTGAGCACAATGAAGAGCAAGCTCCAGACCAAAGAGTCTTCCCAGCAAAACACAGCCCAACGCTGTTTCTCCCCGCCTGCTAGCACAAGTTTTCCCCTGGCAAAAGAACTGACAAGGTGTCCATATTTCCACAGAAATGAAGCTGGAAAGCAGGCACCCATGTCCCAAGATGCACTTTATGAAAACACTGAGAATAGGGGAGCAGAAACAAGTGAGCGATACACAGCAGAGGTTCAGTAATGAGCACTGCCTGTCACTGTTTGCCCAGGGCTAAATCCCTGCCAACACCAACAAGGAGCTTGCCTGAAGGTAAAATCATAGCCCTGCATTCAAGGTGTGTATTTGCAAGTGCAAAGACTACACCAGTGATCAGGACTTCCCCAGACCCAGCTCCAGGCTCACAGCCCATGCAGCCTACAGCACTTTGCTTGTCTGTGGCAAGCCAACCAATTTCAGAAATCACTGCTCAAGTCCTTTATCACGCTGCACACGCTACGGCAGTAAAGAAAAACAGTAACACCGTGATCAATGCTAATCCCTTGGGTTTTCAAACACAATTCACAACACTAAAACCCACCTTTATTTTAATAGGACTCTGCCAACTCCATTCTACGCTGTAGGCAGATTTATATTTTCTATATTCCGCATGCAAACTTAAGGGAACAGAATTTTTAGGAACAAAACCCAGTGGTCATTAGCTTGACTTGTCACCCCTGGGCCACCAAAGGAGTTTGTTGCACCTCAGCTCACGTGTGGTCAGTTTAACTCTGCTTGGCAGTGCTGCAACGCTCGGGTTTCACCCACCGCAGGGCGATGCTTTACTGGACCAAAACCCGGCGCTTTCCATCTGACACTTTATTGCAGGAGCGGATTCCCTCGGGGTTTCTAACTGCGAGTTCAACCGCACGCCGTGCTCCAGGCTGAACTGAAGCCGGCAGTGTTTCCCTTAAGCACTCCGAGGCTTAAAACTGCTCGGAGCTTGATCTTTCCAGCATCGGTCCCTTTCCTAAGGGGTAAAGCACAGGGGCTCTCCTGTGGTGGTGTACGCACACCAGCGAGACACCGACCGAAGAGAAGCTGCTCGTCTGGGGAACCCCCGACAGTAAATAAATGAAGGAATACGTCCGCTCAGCAGCACCCCCCATCCCCAGACACCTGCCTCCCACCGGGGCTGCACCGAGCTCCCCGGAGCGCTTTACACCGAGAATGATGAAGCAAAACGGTGTCCCCGGGGCAGCCCCGCTCCGCGCCCCGCGGCGCGCCCGCGTACTCACACGAAGGCGTGATAGAGCAGCGCCCAGCCGCGGGGCCGTTCCAGGGCGTCGTAGATCAAAGTTTGGATGCGGCGATACTTGGCGTGGTTCCGCTTCACCGGGCGGCTCAGGGGGGTCTTCGCCAGCAGCCCCAGCCCCGGCGGGCTCCTCTTGCCTCCCTCCTCCTTCCCGCCGCCCTCCAGCAGCAGGGTCCCGTCGCGGTCCGCACCGGTGCCCAGGGCCAGCGAGCCCTGCTCGGGGTCGCCACCGCCGCCCGCCGCCGCCGCCCGCCGCCCCGCCGCCGCCGCCGCCCCGCCGGCAGCGCTACCGCCCGCTGCGCCGCGCCGTGCCTTCAGCCCCATGGTCACCGCCGGGCCCCGGAGGAGAGCTGCAGATCCGCGGCGCAAGCCCCGGGAGCCCCAGGGCCATGATCCGAGCTCCCCGCCCCTCCCCCCCAAAAGCGATTTCTTTATGTATTTATATATATACACACGCGGATGTATATATATAGAGAGAGGGAGGGAGGGGGGCGAAAAGGTGGGATGGGGGCTGCGATCACACCCCCGTCAGGTCATCCTCGCCGGCGGCACCGGAGAGGCAGGAGAGCGGCGGGCACCTGGGCCGGCGCAAGGGAGGGAAATCATCGCGGAGTTTATTTACCAGCCCGATGCCCGAGCCCCTTCCTTCCCCCCCCCCACCCCCCCCGCCTCCTCTTCCTCCTCCTCCTCCTCCCAGCTCCTGCCTCCCCCCCCCCCCCCCCCAAGCCCTCACGTTAGGGAGTGGCCCATTGTATGCAGCCAGCAAATAGCCGGGCGCCCGCCCCCCGCTCCCCCGGCCCCGGGTGTCCAGTCATCCACGGAGCGTGGAACACCGGAGAAACCCCCCCCCCCTTCACCCCCCTTTTCCCGGTTGCCAACCCCCAGCAGCCGCCTCTGGGGCCGCCGGCGCCGAGCGGGGAGATCCCGGCAGCCGGCGGAAGGGGAGACCCCGCTCGACACCCGGGGATCCCCCTTGCAGCATCACAGCCCCCCTCCCCGCTGCGGCGGGAGGGAGGGAGGGGAGGGCATCCCCGGCCCCCGGCGGGGGGCTGCTTTCACCGCCGGAGCAGGAAGGAGCGGAGGATGGGGATGAAGGATGCCGGGAGAGGCGGCGGGCAGGCGGCTGGAGCCGCTGCTGCCGGTGCGGCCGCTCTGAGCCGAGCCGAGCCGAACCGAGCCGAACCGGAGCCTCCGCCCGACGAGGAGGGGGATTCGGGTACCGAGGAAGGGACGCAACAGCCGCAGCCCTGCCTGTAGCAGCGTTTTGCACAGGGCTCTTAAAGGAGATGCTACTTCTCCCGCAGCCCGGGCTGTGGTTCTCCCCGCGGTAGCAGTGCTGTGGGTTCTGCCCTGACCTGTCGGACCTGAAAGCTGCCCCCCACTCCGCTTCAGCGTGTGTACCAGCACCCTGGTGCGGGCTCGGACCCAAATCCTGAAGGGATGTGATTGACAGCCCTGTGCCCTTTCAGCTCCTTGGCTGCAAGGAGGATGGGAAGAGCCAGCTTTTGTGTGCCCTGCACCCTTGGTGCCCCGGGATCTCTGCCACAACACACTGGAAACATCCCCCCTCCTCCTAGAGCTGCTTTTGAGTAAACACCTGCCTGCAAGGCTGAGTGTTGGCATAGCTACACCTTGGGAGGATACAAAGGGTCTGATGGAGCCATTTTTTCTTGCCAAATAATAATAAAAATTAAAAATAATAATAATTAAAATAAAGACAAAGCCTTACAGATTGTTGGTTTTTTTCATGGGAGGTCCTCCTCCTCCTCCAGATGGGGGAATTTTCCTGGTATCTCCTGAAGAGATGCCAAGACACCCAAGAACCCTTCCAGAATCATAGAGAAGCAGATTTGCCACCTACTTTAGCTGTTCCCACTCCATTCCCAGAGGGATTTATGATCTGAGCAGTCCTTCTCCTCTTTCACACACCAGGAGGGACAACAGATGGAAAGGGAGATTCTGGATGTGATTTTTGGACCCACAACAGGGTAGCAAAGGCTGTACTGCTTCAGACCAGACTATAGGTCACTATTGGAAATGTCTCAGAAATGACACTTCTGTCACTGCATTGCTGGGTGGAAAAAGGGCTGTTTCCCCTCCAATGTTTGACCATATGAGGTCCAAACTGAGCAGATTCTTTGCCAAAGCATTAAAACCACCTCTGCCTTCAGCTCTGCAAACTCCAGCATGAATATGCCCCAGTCACCATCTGGTTTTGAACCTTGGCAGCCCCAAGGGATTTGATGTGAGCAGACAACCCGGTATCTCACCCACCCGCTATAGCATCAGCTGCCGGTGCTGGGTTTGCCGAGATCTCCATGACACTATCAGCGTTCCGCTCCACACTCAGCTAGCATCTATCAGCATCATTTGAAAGTCATTTATAGCCGTATTCCCAAGGAGGGCTGTGGGAGGCTAGGAAGTTTTGATAACTAGGCCATTTATCTCTCTCCAGCTCCTGTTCTACCTCGTACAATAGCGATGATACTTCCCGGTACCACAGGGGAGCCATAAGCATTAGCGAGGATGTATGGGGCACTGAGAATAGAGCACTTACTGCAGATAACACCCTATGCCTTAACCTTCATCCCGGCATTACATAGGAATAGGTGGGAGGAGAAGGCAGAAGCAAAGAAAATTTACAGCTAACCAATTCATCACAGTTTTGAACCGCAACAGTAAATGTTCAAACCACAATGGGGATGGTAAATAATTTCCAAGGGTCTGGGGGGAAAGGCTGTAAATTATTTTCACTTGCAAAGTGTTGTAGCGATGTCAAATAGCAATAGGTGATTGATAGGCATGCACACCAGCTTGTTTGGCTTTTATACGCCTTACACCAGGGACACATCACTTTCCAATACCATTTACATGTTGGGGTTTTCAGTTGCCTCCTCCAAAAGGTGGGCTTCTGGAACATTTCCAAGCCTCAAATCACCCCCTAATAAGCCACCTTTTAAGACCCAACAGGAAAGAGATTCCATCTCTTCTCTAAATTTAAAATCCCATTTCCCACTGGCAGGGATTTTCCTCTCTGCTCCATCTGGGATAACTATGATGCGCATGTAGCTGTACTGGCTGGGAAGCAGTGTAACGCAATGGGAGTTAGCTAAGATCTTCTAAATCAATGCAAAGACACACAGCAGGTTCATGGGGTCTGATAACAAACCCTAATAGCAGTGTTTCAGTCCCTCATTGGTGGTACTGCTGCTTGGGACCCCAGTCCTATAGCTCACCTGCTGGCAGCACTCCCACTGATGTTGAAGGGAGTGTGGCCAGATGGAGCACTCCAGGCTCTGATTTGGCTTGATGAGCAATTACACTCCATTACTATTATTTACGATGTGTTGCTGGCAGCACCCAACCAGCTTTGATATTCACCTCCTTGGCTGACACTGGAGATCTCTGTCATCAAAAAGCAAATGCTTCTGCCGAGCTGGAGTTTGCAGCCAGGATGTAACAAGCTCTGACTGGAGCATGCAGAGCGACTGATGATAAGCAGCTCCCATTCAGTACTGCTGGCCCTTGCCAAAGAGAAAACTGGTCAGTCAGAGAGGTTACAGTCTAAAACCAGAGGAAACCAGGAAGGTTTTGTATCTGTTGGTCAAGATAGCATGGCTTTATTTTGGCTTATTCATAGATCAGCTTGATTCTAAGCACAGAAGTGCTTGGTAAACCACACACACACAAAGAGGGTGTTTTAGTAGAGTCACATGAACATTGAGCTAGACTATATGGATCATGCCTACAGGAAGGAAAACTGCAAATGGAAAACCAGTTACTCTGCAAAAGTCTCAGGAGCAAAATGAACAAAGGGATGCTCATGAGCTTCAGTGGCAGAGGAACTGAGATTTGTTAACTGAAAAAATGATCAGGGTGCTCTCTAGGAATCAGGAACAGAAAGTGACAGTGTCTGTAGTGTGAGTGAAACTGTCATTACAATATCAGGTCCTACTTCAGTACAACATGCTTTGAGAAAGGTGCTGAAGAGCAGGACCACAGATATAATTTCCTGGGATGAAAGGTTTGAAGCTTGAGGACCTCTTGACCTAGCAGTTTTATACATAACAAGACCCAGAGCATGGAAGGTGAAGCAATATCACCATAGAAGTAAGCAGGGATCTCAGTTTTAGTGTAAGCACATAAGTGGTGTTGAATTTTGTTGCCCTTCTGAATAAAACTGGCTTCTCTATCTTATCAAGCAAAATTACTGCAGTGCTTCAAGGCTTCTTGTTTCTCATTTAGGGTGACAAGATCTAATCCCATTTTTGTCCGGTCTCTAACCCTAACTTCTACTCAGCCTTTGGTCGCAGGTCCCTCAGACATTCTTGTGCTTTCTTCTGCAAAGCTCTGAAGGCTTTGAGGAGGACTCCATCAGCACACAAACCTACCTCATGACCCCTTCCAATCATGTCTTTACAACCCACTACTGGGATGCCCACAAACTCTACCAGTGTGCCTGCACAGAGTTTGGAAGCACCTACTGATGAGACAGTGTAAATTCAGAGTGCAGCACTTACACCCCAGCTAATCCAAGCAGTGAGAGCAGTCTAGCCATACAAGAGACCTGAAACCTCATGGAGGGCTGATTTAAGGGGCTGCTATCCCAGCCACTGTGCTGCCACAGCTGCGTTGTTCATGCACCCAACCTATCTTGTGTACCATGAACTTGAGTGTTCAGCAGCACAGATATGCTCAAGCATTTCCTGTCTTTGTGCATCCATGTTTTCCTTATTCCTTATAGTTGCAGGTTAAGTTCCCTTTTTTAGGCATTCTTTTTTAGGGTTTAACTCTGAAGGAATCTAAGCTGTGGCTATTGCTTCTACCTGCTAAACTAACCCAAAATGAAGCCAGACAGTCAAGCAATGGAACAGCCTAGTGAAGCATGAAACACTCCCAGACCTGGTCTCAAGTCAGAGTTGCAGGTTTGATCTTTACTTTGAAAAGCTATGGCCTACTTTATCATGAAGCTACGATCTGTGATGTGCAGATGGTCAAAGGGATCAAAATGTTACCTTCTGGCTTCCAGCTCTTTACATGAACTGCATGAAACCAGGCAAAGCAGAAGGACACGCAAGAGTCTTTTTGGGGAGACTGAAATCAGTGTCTGCTCCTTAAATCTGCTGATGAAAGAAGGGTGGAGATGCCCATAAAATCTCAAAGCTGAGCAGGAAAATAAAAGATAGTTATGAGAGCCAGCTCTTCCTTCCCTAGACTGCAGATGATCCTGATGAAAAGTAGCTGCTGCCTCAAGCTGTTTTCCTTTTCTCTGCAATGACAAAGTGCATCTGGAAACCAGAGCCTACAGTAGCTTCTCTTCAGGGAGAGTGTAACTGTGGGGCTGGTGCTGCTGGTCCTAAACTGGGCAAAATTCATTATGAGTTTTTAAACGCAAGATAAAACAACAACTGTAAAATACCTTTATAGTGCTCACTTAGGGGTGTCGTGAAACCAGGACAAGGGGAAAGACTTACCAGGATGGGTTCCCTGGTCTGAGAGCTGACAGGTCAAATGTACCCTGGATTGCCACTGCAGCAAATATCACTGCTTGTCAGTGGTAGAAATGAGTCCATAGATGTCACCCATGCCAGCTCTGCTCCTCCTAAGCATTGAGTCCCCTGGCACTCCATGATCCTATGAGCATCTC